AAACCAAAGAAACAGTTTTTTTCATAATTATCGAGTTAAAGCAGGAGATGGAATTAATTTTCATGCTCAAATGATGCATTTTTCTTATCGTTTATGTGCTACTTTTTCATTAACCTTAATTACAAGTTTCTTTCATTTATCATTTTTAGTTTAGGAGTAATAAAAACATCATTCTAAAGTCATCTGGAAAAAATTGTCTGAATTTTATTCTACATTATGAAATCCACTTTCAAGTAGTTTCGTCAGGGACTAATTTCCAGCATTGGTTGAAACAGCTTTTGCGGAAAATTAGATCTTTATTAAATGCACATTTTTAAACAAAAAGACTGATTTCTGGAGAAAAAAATTGTTTTCTTTTAAATTAACTAATTAAATACTCAGAAATAGTCTCTTGGTCAAAAACTGAAAAGCCTCACTTTGGAAAGACTCCCTTATCTTCCTATGGGAGCTGTAGCTCAAATGACTCATTGTCCTCTATTAGGAGTTGCTCTATGTAAGGAGTCTGCAACTCCAAGGAATCACTGCAGGCAATCAACACAACAGGAGACTGACAGACATAGTCACAAGCCAAACCTGAACCTTCAGGTACAGCTCCAAGGAACCAGCAGGATGACATTTTTTAGACTCTAGCTGTTAGGGGATAGCTGGAAATTTGTATCTTGTATTCCAAGATTCTACACCTTTTCCTGCAACATAAAATTTCCAAGACCAATGGAATAAAAATTACTATCAACTTGTCTTTCTCTTTGCTCCTTTGAAACTAACATTATTCATACACCAGAACATGAGAACTGTACAAGGTTTAAATGTTGTGGGAATTTGGCACTGGTAGTACTGGTCCCACTATCTTCCAGAAGTGTCATCTGACAGCTAACTTAAATCATGTTATACCCATTGGTATATGCACATTTGTTTGCATATACCAATTAGAATTTATACAACCCTAAACTATATTGTAAAGAAAGTTCATCCACAAAATATCCATCAGCACAGCTTAATAAACAGTCTTATCTTACATTAGGCTTTCACTCTTTCCCATTCAACATATGGTTTCACTTTGAAAGAGCAGACTTACAATAAATGGTATCATCAGTAGGCTGATAAATGCTGTAATTCCTTACAGGACATCTGTTTAAGGAAGATTTCCCATGCCTAGTCAATGCTTAATTGCTTTCTAAAATATATTTAGGCAATGAGTACTGTATATAGGAAAAGAAATTACGGTTCTTGTCCATCTCTCCAACAATTTTAGTATTTCCTTTATTTTATATGTACATGCTGGTGTTTGGATACTTAACAGAAATGCTAACCTTAACTGCACTTTAGAGACAAATAGAATCTTGTATAACTCTACCTCAATGGCCCTGGGTTTGCTGCTCTTGTAATGTGGCACATAAAAAGTTCTGAGTAGTGAAATTTACATTTCACGGTGCAAATGTACTGGAATCACCAGGTCTTACACTGGGCGCTCCAAGGTCCCTGAAAACCTATTGGCCCAGATGAAGACTTGGGCCTGCCTGCATGAAACATTTTCCTTGGAGGTCAGATGAGGTGCAGAACTGACAGAGATCCTTGAGGTTTCTGAGGTTCCCTTGTGACTTTTTTAGTCTTTCTCCCTTTTGTGACATCACCAGAACACATACAGTTTCCATGTGAACCATCAATGCCTTTTGCCTAGGCAGTGAAACAGGTCACTGCAGTGAGACTATTTCTCTATGGTAATTGTGGACATATCTACACAGCTCCCAAATGAGAAAAAGCACACATATCGTCAAAATAACTTCAAAATAAGGCTAGTGTGGGTCTATGCTCAGTGCTTTTCTTATAGACATGAGTCTGCAAAGAAGTGCTCCCAGGAGAGAGCTCAGATAAGTCATACATAGAGTGGTATGAAGACCAAGCACATTGTAGGGCTTGGAGTCTGCCTGGTAATGTACTGTCGTGACCTGTAAACATGGAAAAGGATTAAGGTTCTATCAACACACTGACGTGGGAGGTTTATGACTAAGTCAATCATTCTGTTTAAAATACAAACTTGTGCTCATCAGAAAAACATACAAAGGGGCCATTAGTACTGCATGGAGCCAGAAATTTCCAGGTTCTGCTCACACAGAGCAGCTGGCAAAGACAGATTCTGAAGATGAAACAGAGGCAAGGCAGGAGATGATGGGACTAGAAAACCAGTAACCCCTTCCCCAGGTGGTATAGGATTCTAAGTCTAGAGAAATCATCAGCCCATGTCAGGCATTGGAGGCAAACCTATGCCTCAGGATAGCAAGTCCTGGATCATTTGGCAAATGAAAGAGTCAAACCCCAACCAAGATTTCCATCAATCATATCACTTTATTAAATATAATAAAACTAAGATAATATCATAAAATAAATATACACTAATAAATATATTCAATGTAATATAATAAATATAAGATAATATAGCATAATATGATACAGTAGATAATAAATACTTAATATAATAACACTAAGATACATTTTATAACACCCTCAGGTGAATGAGGTCACAAATGCTGATCCTGACGGTATTTGCCAAAGAACATGCTCCATTTGGGGATATTCCAGCCTCTTGGGAAAGAAACAATTCCCAATATAATTGTCATTCTTGCACCTTTTTTGGCATGGGACCATTAGAGCACTGAAAGGCTTTTTCTTCTATGTCCCCAAGTCAAAGCTTTACCAGCTAATAGTGGAGACATTTGGACATCCAGATATGATGGAATGAACAGTTTTTCCTTCAACCTCTTGACAAGTGAATAGCATACCAAGCTGGTTTAGAGTGATGAACTGCCACATTGACTTGGGAAGGCAGGGTACCTGGAAAAATTTAGATTCACTGTCAAATTCTACAGCTTCAAAATCAACCTGTAACTGAATAGACAAGCAGAAATTTGGTATAGACTAATGCCTGTTTATTAAGTGCTTCTCTGTTTTTCACTTTGCAGTGCATAATGAAATCCAGTCTCAAAAGACCACCAGTTTAAGAGGCCTATGTATAAAGATCATTAATAGCTCATTGTGAATTTAGCAAATTTGAATCACTTTTAGATTTTTTTCCTTACTCTAGGAACTTCTGTTTGTTCCATTTGGCTATTTCTGATGTGGATTTTGCTTCCTCATTCCATGTACACCCAAAGCTCTCTCTTCAAGTTTAGCCAGATAATCAGGTGTTCAGAAAGTAGGATCAATCTTGTCATAGTAATTTCTTGCAGCAACAGTGTCTTCAGTTGATCAACATTAAACTTCCTCACAGTTCTTTCCTGTTTAGTTGCAAACCTGTTTAACCTGTAACAAGTGCAAAGGTGTTGCTTGTAGAAGTGAGGGGCGTAAGAGTCCTATGCAGGCCAGCTCAAAGTTTTTAGCAAACAGCCCCACTGAGATTAATGCCCACATTCATGGACACACATTATACATGTTTCATAAAAGCCAGGCTATCTGCATATTGTCTTTCATAACTAATATCATAGCTCTGGTAAGACTGCCAGGAGAAACAGGAGACAAACATTTTGGCCATTGAAATGTTTGCAAGTGGTTTGCAAGACATATGTCCTCTCCAAACAAGGTATAAGGCAAAGATCCATTACAGAATTCCTAATAATTTCCCACACAAGCAAATAAGGAGGGAATAATTGTATTTGCATTCTTTTTTTCTTTTTTTTTTAATTTTCATGGGTTTATATAAAAAAAAAATTGCTTAAAATTTGGATCATTTTTCTTGAAACTTTTGCAAATCCATATGGGTGTTTTTATGCTTTTGCTTTTTTGTAGTCTTGGATTTCGACATCAATTGTTCCCATGGTAATGTTCAACACCGTTGTCTAAACACAGTCTGGTATCGCCTCAAGTGTGTTTTGGCACAATGACTCCTTTTAAGTGCTGTAGGTTTGGATCGTTTTGGCATGGTTTTGTCTTTTAGTATGTCAGTACTAAAGCAAATGGCTGAGACTGTAGCTTATTACACACACTACATCATAAACAATCATTTTTCTCTTTTATTTTGTATTACCCAACTCTGTTTACATCTGTTGCCTACAAGCACACTGAGCTGGTGCCATCTTTCCCCTATATGTATGATTGATTCAAAGAGACACTGACTCACTCCTGAAGCTTTTAGTATCTAATTCAAAATTAACATTACAAAAAACAAAAGAAAACATTTTCTACTTAAACACCAGGCCAGGTCATATATACTGTGACTGTAACCCCTTTCAGCGTCAATCTTAAATACTGAAGTGCAGCTAATTAAAATCCTGTCTGTCCTTCAGATGTCTTTCCTGCTGTTGTGTGTGGATAATGACATACTAGCTTCTCACTTCAGTTGCCAAACTAAACAAATGGAAAATAATTCTGGTTTGGGAAAACATTTTAGTCAACCCAAAACAAGAGTTTATTTTTATGTCTTTTTATGCATCACCTGGAAAATCAACTTTTAAATGAAAATGTGACTTCACAACTACAGTTTTGTCCCAGTTTTGCAGCAACAACATGCATAGTCCTTTTCTGTATTGTTTACGGGTATCCAGAAAACATTTCTTATTAAGTGACTGTTAATAATTACTATGTTCTGCAAGCATGTTTTTCAGGAAATCTATTATTTGCTACGAATACGAATCCCTAGCCTGCTGGATTTTAAGAAGGGGAAAACCATTTAATTTTTCTCCCTGTGCCAAAGAGGAACTCCCTGGAGTTTTATTTATTATCTTCTGTTGAGGGGATTAATTTTATATTCAGCTGTCCTGCGCATCCCGGCAGCTCCTGCTCAGAACCAGCTTCGCCCGGACCCGCAGCCGCGTCCCGCAGCCGCCCCTGCGGGGCTGCCCCGGGCACGACTCCCCCGTACCCCCGGCTCTGTGAGGGGCGGGCAGCGAGGCCGGGGCCGCCGCCCTCGGCAGTGCCAGTCCGTGCCTCTACCCCTGCTCAGCT